GGGATGTGAGAAGTTTGGCGTGCGTTGTCATCCACCTTTGTTTCCCCAGTCCTGATGTTTACGTGCGCCACACAGGGTACAGATTTACTTCTGAGTCGACCCAGAGGAGTCCCACAAAAGGTTCAGGTACCAATTGCCAACGACTTTGTTCGTGGCTGTGAATTGAACCCATCTTGTTAGGATTATAGGGCAACACGATAACCACGACATTGACCAAGCAACAACTACCCACGATTCACCAATAGGTGGTGGTGATGTCACCACCACAGAGCTTGCATCAGGAGTCTATGTGAAGCGTCAATGGATTGTTGACAGGTCTCAGGCGTTATGGGTTGACTGACTGACATTAAAGGAAAGTGCAATACCTACACTTCCACTGTGTTATCTTGCTATGTTTTAGCCCCTGGCTCGATGCTTAGTGCCGTGAGCATCGCCCAACTCATGCTGCTGCTCCTGCTGCTGGAGTGCAGCCGCCCCTCCGACTGCCCATTAGCTTCTTTCAAAGAGGCCTCGTCCACAGAGGCCGATCTTGACGTCACTGGTCACCAGTCGTTGGCATCTCCACTTAAATCTGTACAGCCTCATCTCTTCTCAAGCCAGTGCCACACCCTTGTAGTACCCTCAATCCGGCCAAAAGAGAAGCCGCTAAAGCATGCAGTCACTTGTCATGTGGACTGCATGGCTCAACCAATGAAACAGAGGCTGCTGGAGGAGCTCACTGATGGGGCTATGTCTAGGATGAGTAATCTTACAACACAATCCATCCTGGCTAAGCACAACTAGAGTAAAATTGGGAAAAATAATATGAATAAAACATTTCTGTCGAAATGACCGGATGAATAACGTGCTTATTGAACCAGATTATTTAAAAAGCAGCTCAAATAATTTGCAACAACAAATTTCCAGCTCAACGGATACCAAGGGAAATATTACTACGAAACTAATCCTGGACATTCACTTGAAATCCTTCTTAATTTTCTATTCTGGGGTAAGCACACACATACATACAACAAGCCCCAAACATTCCATAACCAGAGAAGCAAAGAAAAATGTTTGAATTAAGGTGGAAACCGGCACTTAATTTTGTGCAACAAAATAAGCTTAATACGGTGTGAATATTTCAACCATAGCCTGGGGTTGTAAATGCAAAGGGGTATTTAAAAAATAGCATAAATTTCCCACGTAATATAGTGGATAATTAAGGTAATGGCACCACGTTTCCTGGCAATTATGGCTACGAGAGGAGAAACAACGATGTGAAGTAGCACACTGGAAGCACAATCAGTCATGCAAAGAAAGGCGGCATTTTCACGGATAGGAATGGATTTGTACCGCTCCAACGAGCCAAGGGGAGTGGTGGCGCAGTGGCTCGCACACTGCGCTCTGAACAGTGACCTATCATAGAGGTTTTTTTGGGTTAGATTTCGTAAATGTGAATGTGTCGTTAAAACCCGCCACCATCCACACAGCCAATTAGTAAAGTTTGTAAAGTAAACAGAACGTGCCAATGAGTTACCAGTTCAGCACACCGGTGTGTTGGAGAGTAAACCTACAACGTTTACAATTTAATAGGGTGCTTATTGAACCAGATTATTAAATAGGTACTCGAATTGTAAATGTTGTGGGTTTACTCTCCAATGCACCGCTGTGCTGAGCTAGTAACTAAGTGGTATATTATATTTATGTGAGAAACATTACTAATTGACTGTGTCAGGTGGTGGCGGGTTTGACGACACATTTATATTTACGCGATATAACCCAAAAAAAAACATCTATTATGGATAATATTGGTCGCTAAAGCCTGTGTTAAACAGTGTCCTAATTTATATTCGTGGCTACGGCTAACATCAGTGAATGAGCGATATATCAACCAGTGCTGGGCTCCGCGCTCATCAACACGTACTGACCAATGTGGTGAAGTATGGTCAAACGACCTTAATGGCTCGCACGTCGTGGGGAGGCTTTCAACCAGCAGTGGATTGACCAAGGGCTGTAAATTATTTTCAAATGTTTTATTGAATTAACCATTACAGCTTGAGTCTCCATAAAATACGTTGTGTTAAGCCATTGCTCTGAATACAATGACTGGCAGTTTGAATGTAACTCACAGTCTATCTCACGTCTACATCTGACAGCTGAATTGTGAAAAAACTCAAGCAAGCACTTCTTGCCAAGCTGTGTGGAGTTCGTGTTGATTTCTTATCGGCTGCTGATATTGACGTAAATACCACAGTAGTTTGGCACCAATATAATTGTTGGGCATTTCAATGAGAGACTGTTTATTATTAAGCAAAGCGCTGAGCATGCCATGCTTGAATTGAAAACACAACTTATATGCCTTCATTAATTTGTATTTGAATTTGGCTCATAAAATACATGTCAATTCCCATACTAATGTGCAAGTTTAGATGGGAAAAATGTTTAATCGGGTAAACTGCATTATAAACATTTCATTTGGAGCAAGGATACAACAAATCAAGCATGTGATGGCCAAGTCAAATTAAATCACAGTGAATTACTAAATTATTTTGAAATGCAGCCAATTTATTTACCACAACACATGGGTGTCAGCAAGTGATGCTTTAAAATGCTACGATTAAATGAATACATAGATTTTTACCTTGTTACGAATGAGATAATATTGCACCAAGCACTTTCCAAAACACGTCCTATTTAGCACGCGTCCAAGAAAAACAGTAGTTGGCTACTTTGGCTTCCAAGCTTCACAGAATGCTCCGTGGTAGGAAATGCAATCCCCCACAATCCCCCACGATAAAAGTGCTGAACATTTCTTCGGCCTAATTTTGTTTTGTTGAAGCGTGGAGACATTCCACGTTTGGGAAAATCGGCGCCACCCAATTAAATAATGATTGTGCTTATTTCCAAGTGGATTGCTTTTAGCTCTGAACGATATTTTAAGCTATGCTAAATACAGTAGTGCAGATCACCCAAGTGGTTTTGATTTAATTCATATAAAACTGAGTTTTACTTACTATTAGTACAATATCCCTGTGGAAACATGAAGCCCCTGTAATTAATGCAAATGCACTCCAATAATTATACACTATGTAACACAATGTTTGTTCCTGGGTATTAAGTGTTATTTTTTAATTGCTTATGCCTGAAAAGTATAGAAAATGCCTATTATTCCCCACAAACTTTGCTTTTGTGACCAGGACTTTATGTGAACGAAAGACACAAATGCACACGTTTTCTCATTGAAAATACGTACGTTTATAAATATCACTGTCCTGGTCACAAAAGCAAAGTTTGTGGGGAATAATTGCCATTTTCAGTACTTTTGACGCATAAGCAATAAGGAAATAACACTTACCACCCAGGAACACATTTTTTTGTTACACAGTGAATACTTACTGCAGCTATGAAGAAAGTCCAAGTGTGCATCTCTATCGATACTCCTTAGCGAGTGGTGGAAATTCCACATTGCTATGGCAGGGTTTAACATCACCACAGGAGACCGACGATTGAATTTTACATTAATTTGTGCACTCTTTGCAGATCTAAAGATTGCAAGTTTTGTCTTTTCTGTTCATTACGTGATGGCAAATGTTCGAGAAGCTAAAAAAAAAAATATCACCGCGTCCTATATGGTGCTGGAGTAAATAGGCACGCGCTAACAGCACTTTCTCCAACAGTCTGTGAATAGGCTTCACAGACGAATTTTGTCTTCTGTACGTTGCAGTATATTTGTATGGATGGGTATTAATATACATCCATGTGAGCAGTAATATACACTAAGGATATGTATGCGTGTATGGATATGAATGTGTGTATGTATGTACATTGCATATATAGATATGTCCACATGTGTAGTATATGCACATACACATGTGTGTGCAGTGTTGGCCTTCATTGGTGCTCACTAGCAGCACTTGCCCCAACAGTGTGTTCAGGCTATTGTTAAGGGCTATAGGCAGGATCTGTGTCACTGTGTGTATATTTGCGTATCAGTGTTTGTGTGTCTGTCATCTCAGTCAGTCAACCCATGGCACCTGGGTCTGTCCCGTGACCTCCTGCCAGCTGGCGTTCGACACTAATGTTGTTGTTGTGTGTCTGTGCATACGGATGCATCTGTGTATATACATAACTTGTAACAGCGAGAAAGCTGTTGTGGTTGTCAATTGAAAAACAGTGGCAACAGCCCTGCGTGAAATGTTGTTGGCTGCACAGCACCCATATCCAGGGGCTGACTCGTCAGTATGGACCAGTGGGCTCCAGCATCACCAGTGACAAAAGAAAAATGAATAAAAACCCTAACAATACTTGCCTGCCTATTACTTAGATTGTAAACTGCATACACCCCCTTACCCCCCCCCCTCCACCCATCTAATGGGCTTCTGTGCCCTGCTAATACTCACCCACTGGCTGCCAATGTCACCGTCGACCATGCAAGCAGGCTGGCATAACCAATATCATCGTTAATCATCACTGTAGAGAATGTTAAGAACAGAATAAGTAATAGACATCTCGTCACTTAAAGCTTTCGTGACTGCAGGAATTCATATTCTTGGGTCTAAAGTCACGTAGATAGGTTCAAAGAAAGTAATAAAAAATAACAGAAAACTACGACGTTTCGATCGCAACGCTTATGTCGGAGTTTTCTGTTGTTATTTTCTTCTTTGAACCTATTTACGTGACTTTACCGAAAGACCCAAGAACATAATGGACGTCTGTGAAAAAGAGCTTCATAGCTCATCCGATTCTTCCAGTCTAAATAAATATCCTGATTCGAATGCCTCCTTCCCATATTGTTTTTCTCTTCACATAAAATAGTGTATTTTCCCCCACAACTCATTGGCCACGACGGCGTTCAGGGAGGGCATCTTGACAGCAGCACTGGTTCATTACTTGCCAACTCTGGACCGGTTTTGATATTCAGTGCCTCATCATCTCCAAGCCTGCTTATAAGACCACTATCGTAGACCTGGTACCCCTGTGACCACCGCCCCCTCTCCCCCACCTCAGGGTGTGCGCATTACCGGGAAGGGCAGGGCAGCGTGTGGCAGGGCCGCTGAATCTGGGGCGGGCGTGCGTCCGCGTCACACAGCGACTCGTCCTCTGCCTCGCCCGTCTCCTTGTTCACGCAGATCACGATCGCCTCTCGGTTCCCTGTGCGCAGTGTGCAGAGTGAAACAGACACGTAACTTGCCGCATACGATTACACTCTCGGCTTTTGTACGTATGTACATTTCACTTATTTCGCGCCGTACGTAGACAACTGTGCCAATCGAAGGTGCAGGGGAAGGACAACAAACTCAACGCAGAAAAATATTTTATTTCAATTTAGCGTGAGGTTAATTGTGTCTCTACAAATGTGATTGGGGATTTCCTTCTGTTTTCAGTTGCATCTCCACTGGGGTGTCCGTTATTTTGCAGGGAATCGCTGGGTGAATGTGTGTGACTTTCTAATTGCTTTGCGATGACACGATAAGTAAATTCGGTGTCCGATTAAATTCACTGCTATTATTTTGTGCAGCTCGGAGGACCATGAGTGATTTTGTAGACATACTGGTGAAATAAAATTAAATGAAATAAAAACTGCTTGGGGTTAGCTAAAGAAGGGGTTTATAATAGTAATACATTTTAACTTAATGAAATATATGAGTTAACGTGGAATACTAAGGTATTATTAATTCACCTCTTGCTAAGTACGGTGGTAGACACTTTGGAAATCGTTGAGGGGTGGTTGGAGGTGATTGATGGATCATACAACGTTCATCATGTATATGAGACAACTATCAGTACACAAAGTAGGTTGATGACCTTTCTGTATTTTTGAATGGCATCCTCTTACGTGCATTCATTTTACGTGAGTTTCCTTTCACATTTCTTTTTACAACACAAAACAGAATTGACCAAATATTCCAAAGCAGGACCCTCCTGACAAGGAATCTTACGCTTAGTGAAGCTTTCCTGGATAAGAAAATGTCTTAATTATGAATGTTATTAATTAGAAAACAAATAATTTTTATCTCCCACAATTTGAGTCAAATCACATTATAAAATGGGGCACTACCATTAGGGAAACGCAGGACTCGTTGTTAGAAGGGATGATGTCTGGTAACTACTGAGTGGCAGCCAAGGAGTGTAACCGCCGTGGAGATGGAGCGGTGACATCCACTCATGCGCTGGTGCTGGACGGACTGCTATATTGAGGACTACTGATGATGACGGCAACTTGAGGAGGCCTAAATATTCTATGGTTCTTTCGGTAATAAATATAAAGTGATTAATTACTTAATTTTTATTATAATTTTTCTTTTTTCTATCTACGTGACTTTAGCGAAAGAACCATAAAATAAAAATTGAGGAGGCCTTTTAACATCATTATCATCATCATGATCATGATGATAATGACGTTAAAAAGGGGGTCCTTGCAGTACACGGCAAGTGGCACAATGATCACGTGGGGCAGGATCACCTCCGGCGCAGGAGACGGAGCAGTGCGAGAAGCCGCCGTACTCCCAGTCGAAGGCCAGGGCCTCGTCCCCGCCCTGGCCCCGCTCCTCCAACGCCTGCGCCTCCTCGTCCGTCAGGAGGCCGTCGGCCGCCTCGACGCAGGGCCCCAGAGCGCAGGGGCGTTCGCTCGCGGGCCGCTCGCCCTCGCACTCGCCGTCGGGCAGCTCCACCACGGAGCGCGAGAACGGCAGCAGCACGCGGCAGCGTACGGCGCGCGTGCGCACACCCGGCCCGCACGAGCGGCTGCACGGGGACCACGCGTCCGGCGCGAAGCTGCGGTGGCGGAACGCGGGGCAGCGCGTGCCGAGACAACGCGCGGCGCCGGGTTAGCGGCGGTTTTCGGATCGATCGCTCGCGGTGTGCTGCGGTGGTGTAGGTGCACGCTGGGATCGCATTCCGGAGGTTGTCAGTCCCGTCTCTTTAATCCCTCACACTCCCCCCGCCTCTGTCCGCCTCTGTCCGCCAACGGGACAAAGGGTGGGTACTCTCACCTATTCTCATGTCTGGCGAGTGTGGAAGAGGAGGTGAAAAGACCCAACACTGGAGGCACTTCCACCAGCAGTGATGTGAGCAAGACATGGGGGGGGGAGGCTGCAACTTCACCTTAACTCTTTAGTGGGGGTTAACGGAGATTGCACTCCCATAATGAATGTGGAACTGCGCCGTTTCCCACCCTCGTGCTGCCTGGCTCTAAGCCTCATCTCTTTGGTTCTCTTCGGGTGGCGTGAACTCTCTGACTCGTTGAGTTTCTCCAGAAGCGTACAATGATCTCTAATTGTTACCCACAAAGATGTGTCAAGCACAGGCTTGAGCGAGCCTGCATCTGATGTACGGTGCGAAAAAAAGTTCAACATACGTGCGCACATACGAATAACAGTCTGAGGATAGAATCCACTTTTGAACACTTGCCACTCGGAGTGCTTTAAACGCACCTATCTTTGGAGATATGACTTTTATGGTATTGAAAAAAAGGAGTGAAGCTGATGGCACCGACTCAAAAACTGTCTGATGGTAAGCATGTGAACATCAGCAAGGAGAGGATCCATTCTAAGCCAGCTTGCACAACCACACTGCTTTTATAAAATTACATTGGATTAAATTTGATTAAATCGAATTCAATTGAATTTCATTAAAGCATGTTAACATGCGCTTGTTGTCAAGCTTTGTACGTAATGATGAGTGTTTACCTGCTAAGCTGTTTTTGCCAGGCACGGAGGCACACATGGGTAACCCAGCAGTATAGGTTCCCGGATCGCACAGGTTTTATGATGTGCTGTAAGACCACTGGAGTTTGGCACCCGGAGGCTAAGTGGGATGAGACTGTAAGAGCAGATCCTCGAGGTCGGGTGTTGATTGTGTAACAGCTGAAAGATCGAACAGAAGTCACCAATGCTGGCATCATTGCCATTGGCTGCGATGTTAGGCCTCAAGGTGCCCAAGACGTGGCAATACGGCAAGTAGGCTTGCAATCAGCCTGTGATGATATTTGAGAATCAGATGCGGCGGTCTATGATTACTGCGATGTCAGCCAACTGCGTGGAGGCTTTGCAGATTCCTGGCACTAAAACGTCCATCACAAAGCAGACTTCATGGCTCTCGATTCGAGCACTTGATGGCAGCAGAGGACAGCGCACGAGGGGCAATCCCATGGAGGCGAAGCGAAAACAATCTGAGTAGGCTTACGAGGCATATTTTTCAGCTCTGACCCAGTATTTACAAAAGCCAACTTAATCTGTCTTCAAAGTCCCCCCGCACTGTTTTGCCCGCCGCATCCTGTTGTTGCGCGAGGTCCTGTGAGGGCCCCCGCGCCGTTCCGTGTGCGAGCGCGATGTGCCGTGCGCTCCGGAAGCTAGACGGCTCGGTGCGGCGCGAGAAGACAAACAAGCGATGGCGACGGGGACTGGAGACCGGGCTTTCTGGTGTTTTTCCTGGCCGCCTTTGCCTTGGCTGAGCTTTTACACTAAATCCCCCCTCGCACTGCTCAGGGCGGGGGAAGGAGGGAGGCACGGAGGGAGGGAGTGAGTGGAGCGAGGGGGGTGCGGGGAGGTAGGGTGAAGCGTAAGAGATGGACAGAGACTTACGCTGCCTCTTCTGATACCGCCGGGCCCTCTATGAGCTCCTGCGCTTGTTTGAACCAGGGAACTTTAGCCTCCACAGGAAGTTTCTCTAAAAACAACAGCAGACAAATGAAATCACTCTCAGCGCCCCACGTCGGGTAAGAAGAATAAAGTGGTGCTTTGAGACAAAAATAAGACGCAGTTGTTTTCTTTGATGGTCACTACGAGAGGAATGTGGAATTACCACCGTCAGTCCATGGCTGTCAACAGAGAAGAGAACTGTTTGATAATAATAATTTGAACGCGGCGACATTTTGACTCGACTATATCTCGACTGCGAAAGTTCAATTCCTGGCCATGGTTAAGATTAGCGGCGAGTGGTATATGTGAATCGGTGATGCCCCCTTCTCAATCCGCCGACTTAATAAATTCATATTGAGCAGTGTGGCAAAGTATGACATGGCCCGCACTTGACTGACATAGCATAGGGGTGCCTTCGTCCAAAAGAAGTGTTGTCTGTCGATTTTTCCCCGTGCTTTATGAATTAACCATCTTAAGATCGACATGAATAAAAAACAAAAGCCGTAACTTATTTTTTTTTGCAAAAGGACACGTTAAAATCGTGGTATCAGTGCAAAGACATCAACCCAACATTTCCTAGTAAAACTTTACTACCATACGCACACACGTGGTGTAGCGCTAGTTTGCAATTGTGTTGCCTTTCACTTACCATTCAATTAATGTATAGCGAGGAAATTAGATCCAACTTTTAAATAATTCAGCAATGACATAGAACGGTCGTGTGTGGAAGTCTATTCCAAATGGAATATTACGGCCAGGGTACTCCACGCAGTTTACAAAACTGCATAGACACAACTCGAAAGTAAAATCCAGTCACTGAAGACACTATGAGATTTATAATATACACCCTAGTTTGACCCCCCCCACCCCACCGTCTCACCTCTCTACATTGTACGGTAACTCACAAATCACTGAGAAGGAGCCCAATTGTGTTTACTCACTGGTAAAGAGTTGCTTTCGGACAGGACAGGCATTATTAATTGCTCCATGAAGGATCTGAGTGTGGCTCATTCACTGTTGTTATGTCGTCCGTTGAGGGCAAAATAACTCCGCATCACGAGCAGGCCCGGTTTTTGCAAGGTCTGCCTGCCGTTTGGGCCTTGCTCACTCTCCTTGACAAGTGCAAACACTGCCTTGATCTATATATGCGTGCAGCCTATATAAATCACGGCCCTCTTTAGTACAAAGAAGAAAAAAAGGTCAAAGTGTCTCCGTGTTAAAGTGAGCATGGGGCTCTTCTCATCTCCGCTCGCGGCCCTGAAGCCAGTCAGTGGTGGAACAATCACGTCCAGAATCATAATCTTGATTTATCCTGGAGAAATCTGACAAGCTATGAAGCTCTTTTTCACAGATGTCCAGTAGGGGCGGATCAGAACGTTACAACAATAAACGATACAAAAAATATGATCGGAGTCCAAAGTATAGGAAAGGTAAGCAAAGCACTATTAATAAATAATGTTCAACTAAACTATTTTTATTTCACCCGGTAAGGCCCACTAAGCTACATAGGTCCCTTTTAGAAGCGACTTGGCCCCAAACGATAGCTCAACGAAGTGGCTTATCACGTGTACATTTATAGCAGCCAAATACTCCAAACGATCTAAATAGCTCCTCCCAACGGCAGGAGCGATTCTTTCCATAGGATGGCCCCTGTTGATTTCCCACAAGGTGGTCCTAATTTTATTAATCTCCAGAGGGATGAAGGGCAGAGCTAACCTCACCAGAATATGAACTCGCGATCTTCCAACTGCCAGTCACTCGCTCTACACACAATGCCACCCAACTGTACAACAAGATTGTTATGCTGTCCCGTTGTTTTAAGATTTTCTCTTTTGTAGCAGTGAATGTAAACGTATCTCGCGTCCCATAATGTCCAAAATACATCAACGTTATTGGTGCGTAATCAAGACAACACTTTAGGTATGTTAGTGTTGAATTTACAAATCACATGTTCTTGTTGTGTCGCTAATGCATGACTATACTTATAACGTCTATGTTAATGAACTCCTGAAAGATAAATAAACATAGGGAATGTATCTCATCTGTATTTACCGTGTGTTGAATTTCTCCCTCTGTACAAATCAACATGAGCTTGAAACGAAAGTGCAAGTCACTGTCATGACAACTAATCTAAACAATTTTGACTTTAAACTTTCGTGACTGCAGGAATTCATATTCTTGGTTCTTTCGATAAAATCACGTATATAGAAATAAAAAACCCAAATTGCGTTTACAAAACTTTCCAACAACACCTGCTTATCGATGTACTATTCATCGCGCCACATTGTACACGGCAAGCACGTGAATAAAGTGACATGATCGATGGGAGTTGTCCGTGAGCCCCATCCTCTGCCTCACGTGCACGTTGTGTGTACACTCATTGTCCCTCCATCACCCATCATCGTACCTGTGCATCCATCAAGCCGGCTGTCCGTTCACGCGAAGCCCGCACGATCCAATGCATTTTGCATCCATCAGCCTGGCCACCCCCGAAGACATTTTATTCGACTGCCCGCATGCTCGCCCACCCACCCATCCGCGCTCACATCCGAGCATTAAAAGCCCATCTGCGTGCCCATCAATCCATCGGGACATGTGCTCCCGTCGGTCCATTATCCACGCATTCATTCCACGCCCCCCCTCCCCACGCCCCCGTGCTCAAGGTGGGTGGCGGAGGGCCTGAGCGGGTACCGCGGGGCTTGTAGCACGGCGTGGTCACCAGGCATTCCTCCTTGACGTGCGGCTTGATCTTGGTGTTGCAGCCACCCGTGTGCTGCCCGCGGTGGTCGATGCAGAGCACCACGCGGTACTTGAGCCCGCGGCCACACGTCACCGTGCACTGCGGGAGAGCAACAGGCAGCGACCGTGGGCTCGGGGTCAACGCGGACAAGAATCAATCGATCTTCGCCGCGTCAGACGTTTCAACCGCGTTTTTGGAGCTGCGGTTTGTGTGCTCGGCTGGTCATCAAAAAGGCTGTGAGTTTAAATCGTGGAGAATGGGTCGACCGGCCCATCGTATCTCGGGGGGGGAGGGTCGACAAAATTCGTAACGTTTTTGTAGGTCAAAGGTGACCATCTTACGGATAAAGTGGGCCCCACCATGGGAATGTGAAATTTGACTCGAGCTCAGAGCCACCAAAAGTCGATGAGAGCCCACACAATTATTACAACTCCTGTGCGTTCTGTTTCTTTTGTAATTGTACGTGTGGTTTGTTGATAAAGTGCTTCTAATAAAGTTACAGAAATTAATAACCAATTATTAATTGCTTTAGTAGATTTTAATAACGGGGAGTTTCATTATTTTGGTAGTTTGCTAACATGTTTTTACATGTGTAATGACCGAAAAATGAAGCCAATATGCAGCCTAATGGCTTCCATGGCGATTGGTCGGGAGGCAGACTGTTAAAGGGATTGGAGGAATAAGGCTTGAACGGGATTAAGCGGAAAACAGAGAATATTCGTTAGAGGGGAACGACAGGGATTGGCTAAGGGAAAAAAATCAAGGAAAGGAAGGTTCCAGAAAGGGGGGAGCATGAGGAGTGGGGGCATTCGGAGGAGGTTACAAGCTCAAGACATAGCACGGAGCCTAGGGTCCCTTATTGTGGCTGTGTCGAAATAAAGTGGCTCTTACTACATCGTCGTCAAGAGTCGTTACACATTAAAATTAAACTAAACAAAGGCAACATTTCATGGATTTCAAATGTTGCCGTTTCAAAAAACAAACACGAGGTATTTTTTTGTTTAATGGCCCAATAGTATTCCCGTTGGAAAAGCACAGTTGAAGTTTGACATACAACTTTCGTGACTGCAGGAATTCCTATTCTATGGCTCTTTCGGTAAAGTCACATAGATAGAAAAAAATAATAACAAAAAAATAATAAAAATGAAGTGAATTAAAAATAATAAAAATATCACGACGTTTCGATCGCAACACGTCATAAAAAAAGTCGTGATATTTTCATTTTTATTATTTTATTGTTATTATTTTTTCTATCTATGTGACTTTACCGAAAGAACCATAGAATAAGCACAGTTGAATAAATTATGACAGCTTTTGGCACAAAGCTACATCGTACACTGACTGACCTGTGCAATGCGAGCAACGTTGTGAATCTTATGTGGCAAATGCCCCTCAAACTGCCTTTGATATACCACAACGATGACCCCTTTGCTGGCTCCACAAGTTTTTTCTGGCCTCTTTACGGTTTGTGTTTGCTCGGGGGAGGAGGCATGCTGAGCGATTACTAAGTGTGTGTCTGTCTGTTGCACCATGAATGTTGTCCTTGATGGGAATCACAATGAATGTAACAGATAAATTCATTCCACACCCTCTGCTGTTTCCAGTCTCTCATTGCCAGCCACAATCAGCGTTTTATGATGCATTTAACAATACCACATTTCAAGAATAATTTGTCAAATTCAGTCGAATAAAATAAACAAACTTGGCTATTGTTTGTATTGCTTTGGGAGGATGACCAAGAGCCCGACCATAGAACACAAATATAGCATTGTCTCTTTGTTCAATGCTGTTATAAACACTTGAAGATGGTGCGTTCAAGTCATGGTCAGGGGTCGACTCAGACTACTGTCCCAATGGGTTCGATAAAATGAATACATTCTGTGAGAAATTATCAATCAAAGTTTTCATGGAGAAACTGGCCTCAGGCATGGGAATGTGGAATTTCCACCACCTGTTCAGTGCTGTCAATAGAGAAGAGCATTTGGATATGGAGGCAACTTTTACTTTGACATCTATTTGTGTTGTTGTAGTAATTGACAGCAGTGCTGTCTGTGATCATCATCACACTTTGTGTAAACTCTTCACGAAAGCCATAGAAAACCAAATTATGGTCAATTTAGAGGCCAACCAACCATGAAACCAAGCTGGTTTTAGAAACTTTTTTTTGCAATTGACCATGAATAGACTATTAACCAGATTCATAAAAAAGACAAGGAGATACAATCTCACAAAGGCTATTCACAGCAACAACAGAGATATTTTCCAAAAAATAGATTTTGGATAAATTAAATTGGCGAAACGTGATTATATTTGCCATGTGTTAGGGTCGTGATCGTCGTGGACTGCCTCTCCAGGCACCGCTTCTCCCTACCGAAGACCACTCCTGCGCCATCCACTTGGGGCAGTCGTAGAGGTTGCAGGGCTGTGTGACTGCCGGCCGCAGCACGTACATGCACTTCCACTCCTCTACGGGCTCCAGGTGGCCCTGCTGGTCCTCTTCCACGCACGACACGGAGCGCGACTGCACGCCGCCGCCGCACGAGCTGGAGCACGCCGTCCACGGGCTTCCCTCCCACCTGCACGGTCCACGTCCACACCAGACTGAGTTTGTGTGCCTCTCTCTATCTCTCTCCCGTGGTCGCGTGGATTTTCCTCCGGGGTCCTCCGGTTCCTTCCCCCCTCTGCATTTAGAATCGACGTGCGTTCAGAGTATTCGGCTGCTACACATTTCCATGTGATGGGGCCGTTTCGTTGAGCTGTCATTTGCGATAGCCAGGTGCGATTCAGAAAAAGAGCTGTATCGATCATTGGCCCTTACCTGGTAATATAAAAATTGTCTTCTTCTTTCGTATGGATCAATAGCAGCAGATTAAAGATGTAATTTTAGATTTGTCATCCACTCAATTGTCTGTTCCGAAGCAGAGTGGATCTCGTCCATTCCTCTTTTAAAGGAGTGAAGACAGTTCAATAGTTAATAGATGTCCTGATCTTTCACAGGCAGTCTGCTGGGCAGACTATAGCCATATGCCCCCCCCCCCCCCCCTTATCCCTCTTTTTCCACTGTACAACTGAGCAGAGCCAGCCCGGCATGGCTCAGAAGGTGCCCGGTTGTTTTTCCACTGCAGAAGCCAAGCCGTGGCTCTGATACCACAAGTAACGAACAGCATCGCCGCATTGTAGATGGCCAAGGTGATACCGTGTCCTCGCAGTGTACTCAATATCAATTGTAATGAAGACGTCGTTAGCCCTCTTCCCCCTGGTCGCTGGATCTTGAAGAGGTCCTCATGTGCGTGATACACCCACCCTGCAAAACTCTCGAGATTGCCAATAGATTTTGCAGTACAGCAAGTAGGCTGTTTGCATTAAATTGTATTATTTTGAGCGTTATCTTCTCGTATGTGTGGGGTGTTCTCCGGTTACCTGTCAGATACTTGATAAGGAAGAGGACAAAATCCTGAACAGGGCTTTCATGAAAAAATGTTGTGAGGCATTTGTGGAAAAAATAAAGAAATAGAGGGCATTGTTATTATTCTTATTTCTATCACCCAGCCGTGTGGCACCGTCATATCAAAGGAGCTGATAAAATGAGTAACACTTTTTTGAGGAGTCAAAAGTAGTTCTCTTCATGGTGAAACCGGACCTTGCCATAGAGTATGACATTTTCACCGCTGGCTCTGGGCCATCAATAGGGCGGACCGCTGCCCAACGCTTATTGAGAAGGGCAACACGACCACTCACGGGGCCGAACCAAGATCGCTGTTTTAGTATCGTAGATCGGTGCAAGGACCTGTCGCACGTACTCAGCCATGCTCAAACGCACACATGCGCAGATACAATTACACGCGCTCGCACACTTCCACATCTATCATTCCACAAGGCTGTTAAGAAGGTGGGGCGCTGGTGTGGATTTTGAAGAAAAAAAATCGACTCTCAGGAAAAAAAACCTGGCACCCTCCAACAACCCTAACTTACACCTCTACATAATACAGAAGCCCTTATTGGGGCCATGCACGTGTGAGGAATTAACTAGAGAATGTACCTTGTTTTCTGCAGGTTTTTTTGTACCACTCCAATTTGTGTCATCAAACTCAGTCAGCTGTGCTCGTGAGAAAAATTGCCAACTCGCCTTCGGCTAATGTTGCCTAACCCGAACCTAACCTTGACGAGTCGGCTTCATGACCAATATTTTCCCACCCAATTAATCCTGATCTAAGTTCCTCACTCGGGTTCCATTGCAATGCGTACAAGCTGGATTCAATCACGTGTAATAATACAAAGCACCTTCATGCACTACAACGCGTTCACCATCTTTTTTTGAGTGCTACATTAAGAGACAGTGAAAGTCTCATGGAGGGAATGGCTCTTGCCAGAAAAATGTGGGATTTCCAAAACTGGCTCAGGTATAGCAATAGAGGTGGGTTACTGCCCCATGCTGATTCTAGCAGAGAAACACTTTGACCTGTCTGCCAGCATTGGGGAACTATGTATCTATCTATGTTGAACTTCTAATAGGCCAGACACATTGTTACATGAGAGATTTCATATGGCGCCTATAATGCTATTTACAAGCTAACGAATTACTCGAAATTTGGAGATTTTCTATCCCTATCGTTAATAACTCTTGTGCTGGTAAAAATAACTCAACTGGCATGTATTTCTTGTAATAGCAATGTAATATTTCCATGCTGAGCTGGACGCAGTGGTGCAATTAGGAGGTGAGGGTTGGTAGATCAATCTCCCAAATCTACCGGGATGCACGGTGGCTGGGAGACAGAAGCACACCGAGTGGATGGAATCCATCTGTGCGCAGCTCTGAGTGTTATCACCTCAAATGTTGGTGATTTTCTCTAGGTACTCCAATTTCCTTGCACGTGGAAATATCGACAATATGTAATTGGCAAAACATCCCAATGCATAAGAAAATAACACGATTCTTGAACAAGTTCCTCCATATAACTGAACTGACACAGGGCTATGTTTAAAAAAGGGATGTTGACTCTGAAATACATTTATCAACATGTCGATGTTCAAATACAATTCTGAAATAACGAATGGTTAATAAAGGTCTGCCAGTGTTATAAAATACCAAAAAATATTACACAAGGAGAAAGTAACGCTATCTCATACATATGCCTATCATTGGAATAATGAGTTCGTAAGAAAGCAATAAAAAGCAAGGAATAGTTCCATTATAAATACAGATGCCCTGAATGTACTTGAAAACGATAATCGGTCTTTCCCTGACACAATCCTACTTGCAATATTTTCCACATGTTGCCAATTTACAGTTCAGCAAAACGGGACACTTCATATGCATTTCATTGAGTAACAAAGAGTCAGCCAGCTGTGGCACTTGAATTATTAGACCCTCGTATGGTTATTGAGCGGCGCGTTGCTTCAACTGTAATAATACGAATTAATGCCAAGAGAAAAATAACATCCACTCTCAAAGCGCGTCAGAAATCAGCAGCGTTCTTTCGGCAGTAAAAAAAAATGGTGACGTGTGCAACGCATCAAGCTGACAATTTCGCGTTTGTCTTGCCTTTTTTTTTAACTATTCATTCACGTGTTCCCAATTTTATACATTTTTCTTTCGCACATTTATTTTTCTTGAAGCAGCTTCATCGCGATCGGCGAGCGTGGAGAAAGTGAGGGGTCCGGGGGGGTCAGAGCGTGCCGCGCGCTAAGTGTTCCCGCATGCCGTCATCACTCACCGTGGGAGGGGCTGGTAGTGGTCGTAAGACATAATCTGTTTGAATCCATCGCTGCAAAAACAACGGCAGAGAGTACACAACATCACTCGCTCACTTTGTTTTAAAATGCGTTAAAACATTACCTATGCATGTGTGTGCCTCTGTGTGCAAGCTTATATTCCCGCAGAAAATAGCCACATTTTAACTAATGTCGTCTCAAAGGAACCAACAGCATTGGCAAGATGTTAGATAGGACACATTGTTTAAGTTGAAATTAGATCTTTGAGGAACAAAAATATGAATGAGAATGCAGAGTGAACCTGCTTTAAAGATATCTACAAAAAAAAAGCAACAAACTCATTGAATACATTTTGGAGAAACATTTTTTTCAACGAAATGTGGTCGGTGTGCTGACGCGGTATTTAGCGCACTACGCTATGAACCAAGTTTAAGTTTAAAGTTGATTTTGTTTATTTTGTTTGTATATTTGCCAGGTGAGAGACCCGGATAATTATAATTTGCAAGAGTGACGGGGTCACGAACACTGGCAAAAAGAAAAACGAATGAAATGATGAATCGCATTGAAGCAAATAGAAATCAGAACAAAAACATAAGCCTCAAAAACAAACTCTATCACGTGAGAATAAAAAAAAATTGCACAAACATAAATACTTGTGAATTCAAAGTTAAATACACAATTTCCTGCAGTGCATGTTGACTCAGCCGGAGGATTTTTAGACTGATCATAGTACAATTACAAAATGAATTGACAAAAAGATTAAACATTAAAACAGATATAGGGTGACTTTAGGACTAATGTGTGGACAGAGAAGGATTCATGTCATATGCAATTGCAACGAGGCTATCTGAGTTCGATTCCCGACATGGCATCGAAGACCTTCATAATGCAGTAGATTGACACAAGACTGCAATTCATTCATTTCGTTATTACAAATAACCACGCCACGTTTTCCGTTTACAAAATCTAAAAGTTGACCATTATTGACGTCAGCACGTTAATGGCAATAACAGCTCTGAGTTTGTCGAAGGTTTCATGCATCTGTCGCCATTTTTTGCGATTCCGCGTGTAAAAAAAAAGTAAATATTTGAGCTGCACATGTGGCTTTGGCAGCTGAACGAGTATGCGAACCCGGTGGGGTCACGAGGCAGGTGCAATGTGACACCACGATAAGCAGGGAGAAAAAAGGGCATTTGCTCCCAATAAATTACTACAGTTCACTGCAGTACACGGCCACAAAACTGTGGCTCATTGCAGTTCTCCCAATCTATGCAATCTTTTACGCGAGGTTTTTATTTTTGGTTTGTGGAAGAAAAACAATTCCAAAACGTGTCGAGTGACTCGTACGATTGGCTATTGCAGAGTCACATGACTACTGGACCCACAATGCTCACTTGTGAAATTGCTCCAAAGCTGAGATGAGCTCAACATTTTTGTTAATAAAACCATTTTTTAGGATAAATACAATAGGGCCACATATGCACGATAGGAGCAAAATAATGTATACAAAATAACAATGGGGGAAAGTCTATATCTTATTTAAAACATGACCACCACACAGCCCTATATTCGTGAAACACGACACACTCAGTCTTCCAAATGACGGATGTAGGATTTTTTTTTACATTTTACTTATTAGCGCAAATGTGTCCACAGCTCCATTTACATCAAAACCACATTTTCGCTTAGCAAGCTTCCTATTAATGGCATTCACGGGGCTTGGGGTAGATCGGCACAGAATTGCATTGCTCAATACGTGCATTGCAGGTGTAGCCACACAGTGCAGTGCGTTTGGCCTCATTGCCAAAAGACCGTCTGCATCAGTTACAATTACGCGAGAACAAACCCCGTTGGCATCGTGCCCCAAGCCTGATATTTCTTCGGCAGCTCAATTATAATTATCAGGCGGGCTTTGGCATGCGCTCGTGAAGAGAGGTAACGAGTTCCCAGGCGCTGTTCCCGAGCAGGAAAAAAAACAAACGCCGTCGCTGGCAGACGCACGCTGACCCGCTGCGCGCCGTGCCCAAGCGCTGATGTCACGGGGAAAAGATTCTCGAGCCCCTTTTTTTTGTCTCGCTCGCCCAACTTCATTTACAAATTCGAGTCGCACTCGTACGGAGTAAACCCCCACGTGCGATTTACAGGGCTCAGCTCTCAAACACGCGCCATTGCAAGCAAGTGCCATTCTCCTAGGGGAGAATTATATTAAAAAAAAGGCAAAAGGTGGCCTACACGGGAGGAAGGCTGACCCCGCACTTTTGCTGCACTGCGACGAGCAGCCAAGAGAAGTGGCCGCGGTGGCACCACCCCTCTGCCGTATTCCCCTTTGACCCTTCGCATGTGCACCTGCGCAGGCAACGTTGCACGGCACGTGCGTTCGTGGTGGAATACGTTATATGTCGGGGGGGACCTTTGCGCCCTCCGTACGCGAGGAGCCCCCCGGTGCACCGGCCGTTGTTTGACTCGGCCTTGCTTGAACGTTTACGCAACCCGGGTCTGGGAGGGTTGGTCCCCCCCCCCCCGCCCCCACCTGCGGTTTGGAAAACATTCTTTCCGAGCCGACTTATAGACTCTTAAAAAAAAGATGCTTCTTGCATTGCACAGGCATTTCACGGTGCACTTAAATACGGTCACCTCCGTTACTAATCTCTCCCCGCTGTGATTACTTTTAACACCCGGGGACACTGCGGACTGCCGTTCGCATTCCGTTAGCCCACGGGGTGGTCGATACGATTAAACATTAACAATGCAGGACTGCGTTTATCGGTGATGCCTTCGCAGCAGCAGACGATGCAGCAAAGTGTACTGTCACTCACGAAGCCGATGGAAATGTGCAGGGTTGGTGGTGGGGGATCGGGAGCGGCGTAGGTTGCTTACCCCAGTGACGGCAGCAAGGGTCTTTTATTATCATAAAAACACCGTTGCTGGGGTGGGTCGAGAAAACTTACACACCACCCTGCATATGAACTCAAATTGAGTCTCAGAGTGTTCATACACTCGAGAACAAGCCCCCGTCCATACAGCATGTGTGGACTCAAAGAGGAAGCTGACCAGCAAACGCCATACAGTATACAGAGACTCTTCTACTTACGAACATTCGACTTACGAACTTTCAGAGATACGAACAAACCTGGCCTGTATGTCCCAGTTGCCTGTTCGGACCGAGAGTCGTAAGTTCGACCGCCCCGCACAATAGATGGCGGTGGTGGCATTGACACCTGTAGAACATGAAGAACCAATGACATCTATAACTTTTAAAGCCATTCCCCGTGTTTAGCGTACATGCCATACAACATGTTTGGAATCGACAGGAGTAAAGTTGGACTCATGAACAGACCTCTGGAACCTAACTCGTTCGTAAGTAGAGGAGCCCTGTATATGCAAACGCGATAGAGTACATGTGCCACACAGCGCGTTTCCCAAGGGCAGAGTGGTGGTGCTGCGTCACGCACCGCAACTATCAACCCATAATCACTCGAGTTCCATTCCCGATCACAGCTAACATCCGTTGGCGAATGATATTTGAACCCGGACCATCGCCCCCGTTCACCAAACCTACACTGTCCAGCGTGGTGATGTATGGCCTAAGAACTCACGTGACTGATACGGCATGGGAAACCTCGACCCAATGGTGGAGTGATACAGGGCTTTAAGTTATCCATGACAGAGGTTGTTTTGGGTTAGATCACGTAAATATATAAATGTGTCGTTAAACCTACCACCACCCAACATAACCAATTATAAGGTTTGTCACGTAAAATAAACATGCCAATTAGTTACTAGTTCATCACGCCGGTGTGTTGGAGAGCAAACCAATGTTACTAATTGGCAGTGTCGGGTGGTGGTGGGTTTAACGACACATTTATATTTAAGCGATCGACCCCACAAACATGTCTATTATGGATAATATTGGTCGCGAAAGCCTACTACGTGTTAAACTGACTTGGAAGTTAGTTTCGTTTTGGTCAGTATCTTTTACCCATCGAGAAGACACCGCATAATTGGGCCACACATTAGCAACGAGACAGTAGCAGCAGAGCAGCAGCAGCAGCATCGACAAAACCTGGAGTCGCCCAGCCACGTGACTTTCACTTAAGGCCCAAAGCACGAGCACCACGTTGCTGCTTGAGTCACTCTGACTGCGCCCCACCTTACCAGGTGCTCCGCCTTACCTGGATGGACAGGGCTCCATGCTGCATTCCCGCAGCCTGGGCTTCGGCTTCTTGTTCTCAGGGTAATAGTTGCAGAAGTGGTCGGAGGCGATGCGGGCGTTCCGCATATCCACACACTCGGCCGACGTCAGCTGGTAGCCTGAGCCACAGACGGGGAAACTAAACGGTCAGCAGCACAAGACAAAGGCAAACTAAGCACAAGCTTGAGAGCCCCATGCGTGTCAAGGGGCTCCGGATTCACTTTACTAATTATGGTGACACCAAATTAAACCTTTATAAACAGTTGCATTTAGAGGCTTAGCCCCCTTTTCTCTCTGCCTGATGACGACCGCTTGTGTTGCGATCTAAACGTCGTAGTTTTTTGTTTATTTATTTTCATTAATTTGAATCTATCTACGAGACTTTACCGAAAGACCTAAAGAATATATAACCCAAGATAGTTTTTTTTTAAATAAAAAAGAAAAGCTCAATTTTCACAACAATATTAAACTATTCTAAGCGTAATGAGTCAAATAATTATTCTACACGACTGTGATATATAACTGCCGTGGGACTTGTCCAGCATATATTGTGTGCAGCCAAGTGACACACCCAAAAATCATATCTGCGTAGGGCCCTAATGGGCTGCTGGTACCACCGCTGCGTGTCATTGCAATGGAAAGTAGCCGTCCTACTCGCCCACTAATGCCACTAACAAGGGGCTGTTGAATGAAATGTATTTGACTTGTACTTGCTTGCCGTAATGGCAATCCATTATAAAAAAATATATATCAGTTCACCATGAGGTCCTTAAGTTTTTATACACTTTCTCTGTGTTGTTCATTTAATACATTCCCATAATTTTGTAAAGTGAACAGCAAATATATTATATTTTTAACTCGGGGTTTTTGAGTTTTAAAACGTTCTTGCGAGTGCCATGACAATTAAAAAAAATACTACCTACACGGTGGATATTGGGTTTTCAATAATCATTAACATTTCCTACCGAGTTCTGACATTCGTCCGATATTTATTCATTTATTTGCTATGAAGAAGTGCCATTGCTTGAAACGTCACCTTTTATATTTGATTTTTTTTATTTTCAGGCCACAGCATTATTGATGAATGTGTTTCGTGTTTGTGCACCACTACCAATGCAGAATTACCAAGTACTTTATTTTATTTGAAATAGTATTATTGATTTTTAACGCTGACATCATGTTCTACTGTCTACAAAAACCAGGAGATTATTGGCTGCAAGGGCCAACCAGATTCTGTAGACTCCTCGATTGTTCAATCGATTACCATGATTCTATAGATAGCATTTTTTCTTTGAATACTCACTTTCCAATTTCTGGCAATACATTAACATGACATTCATATAAATGTAATGAACAAAGAAAGAATGTGCACAAGACATTATAAGCGACAACATAGCACTTGCTCTGGCTCTCCACGTAAAAGAACCCAACTCAACCTGAAGTCAAATCTATTTTAGCTCGATGGCCCACAGCCAATAGAGTGCAGTGTGCGAACTGTGCGAGCACATGTGTTTTTTTGGGCATGAGTTGAGCAGAGGTGCCATGGTGGCGAGATGTTAACTACCTGGCCTGGTATATAGAAAGGTCGTGGGTTCGATCCCAACCCTGGCGTCTTTATATTTGGAATGTTCATGCTTTCCCTACGGTTGTGTGGATATTTATCCGGTTACCCCAGCTTTTCCCTCCACCTTTAGAAATGTGCGATTCGAGTATTTGGCTACTATACATTCCCGCATGATAAGCCACTTCGCTGAGCTATCATTTGCGGCCAGGTCGCTTCTGAAAAAATGCTATGTAGCTGAGTGGGCCTCGCCTGGTAAAATAAAAAAAAATAGTTTAGTTTAGGAAGAGGCCATGTTGAGTGATTGACAGATGGCTCATAGCAAAGAGATCTCAAGAGAGTGTTGACCTTCTGATTTAATCTCCCTTACATATACACTTAACATCAGGTGTGATCCTACCAATGGCAGCTTTGTTTAAAGCATTAACTTCACCTGTCTTCCTAACACCTTTTCCTATGCCTCCCAGTTGTAAGTTGTGGAGTACTTAAAAAAAATGTGTTGAATGGTGCGATGTTTTTTAAGCCTTCTGATTGATCTAAGTGTCATGCGATGTGGTTGTATGAGATTTGACTCACGTCAAGTCCAATAGATTTACAATGTGGGCTGGGTTAATATTAGTGTAAGAGGTTAGATTTATAGATAGTGGTCATGGGTGGCGCTTTGGAGTACTTTGTAGTTGTGAGCTGAACCCCACTCACTCAGTCCACACATTTCAGTTTCAAACACAACTACCGAGATCACATTTCAACTGATCACAGACCCATCAACATGAAAGACACTCTGTTCGAATAAAAACAGCATTGCAGAACACTTCTCTGGAATGCTTCACCGCACTCTTCCAGCGCAGTTTTACGTTTTTTTGCATTTGAAGCAATCACATTTTTTGTAGGCGTATTTTTTTCTGAATGTTCCTAAGTTATGTGGAGGTGGGGTGCATCTAACTTGCAGGGAAGTCAAGGTGAGCAGGTCATGTTTGTTCTCTCTATAAATGTCATCAATGCACGCTCGGTTTTTTTTCTGCAATGGTGCCGGCATAAAAAAAAATCAAGAACATGGAGAAGAGGAGGAGGCCTATACAGAGACGGAGAAACCCAGACCTAGGGGCAGCACACTCTGTCCGCTGTGGCTCTGGACCACAACGTTGTCAAACATTTGAAGATACACATGCCAGAGGGACACAACTCGAAAACACACCAGAGTATTGCATACCTCGGGCATAGGTATGAGCTTTGAATTTAAAAATTTTGGATTTAAGAATCAATTTGGATTCCTTTTTTTGGCTTTTTGTTGAAGGTGGACCGGGATCAGGGAAATTAAATGTACCCATGTATGTTTGATGGCTGATTTGACAAGCCTAGTGATGGATTCGCAGGCAAATGAGATAACCCCACCCAAAAGTGTGATTGCCCCAGATATGGAGTGATAGGCTCAGCTCATCTGTGGGAGTGAGATGGATTGTGAAATTTTCGGACCATGAGGGATGCGATGGCGTGGGAAGGCTTTCATCCAGCAGTTGACAAAAACATGGTTGATGATGGAGTCATGGAGCTGAAAATTACGACAATTCCAGATGCCATCATGAACGTCTGGCATCAGGAAGTGATGCTGGAATTTACTTGGCCGGGCCCTTGCTGCCCTGAAATCTCAGACATTTCCTGTAAGAACAGAGGCTCGGCTTTGTGTGAAATCATCGTGATGCTGGGCACACGGCAATTTTACAGCCCCCGTGTTGGAATTCACCCCATGACGCTGCCACCTACACTGCCCTTGTGTGGATTACAGACACAAGTTAGCGAATTTGCAGCTGAATCGCATTAGTGTTTTTCCTGTTCCCAAGCGGTATTTATGACTCCGTGAGATCTACTGTTTTCTGGGTATGATTGCATCATTACGTGATTTTATGAGTTCTATCACCCACCTTGAAAGTTCAACGCAAGTGCAAATGCCGTCCGCCTGCATTCCCATCTGCTGTGATACTTCCTCCAGTCTACATAAAGATCCTGATTCTGATTCAGTGTTTTATTATCCTGGGACATTCCATGGACAAGGTTCATCCAGGTATAGTCAGCTGCTCTACCCAAATAACAAAGTCTCCTCTAAACATGCGTGCTTAGGAGTGTGATGATTCACCCCCTCAACGATTTGATGACCATGTGAGGCCAAAGTTTCATAAAAAAATAAATCACAAAATGCTGTCCTTGTACTATATGTAAAATCTAGAACAGTGCTAATCTATAAACTATATAGTAATTCATTGCGATATTAGAATATATGTATAAATATAAATTGTTGCTTCTTACATAGTTCAATGCATGCCCCGTGAGTATAATAATACATGTTCACGTGAAATGTAAAGGTTCAGCCCTCAATTGGCTTTCCCACGTCACTGCTGACAGAAGGACCTCCACTAGCGGGAGCTTTAGAGAGCCCCTCTCTCTGGAGGGAATTTTGACCGACTCTTCCACATTGGCCAAATATCTTTGAAGAATTGTGAGTAGCCACACTTTACCCTACCACGCGTGACCTGCCTGCCGATCAACTGTGGTGTGTCTATTTAAACTACTGGATTGCAAGTCTAGTGTGCTAATAATTACACCACAGCAATATCCATGATTTTAATGTATCCCCAATTATATCCATACAATCATGATTTGAAGCTTTCGTGACTGCAGGAATCCATACTCTTTGGTTCTTTCGGTAAAGTCACGTAGGTAGAAAAATAAAACAAACAAAAAATAATATATCACTGCTGGATTATTTTTTTACGCCCGAGGACAACCTCTTGTGTTGCGATCGACACATCGTGATATATTATTTTTATTTTGTTTTATTTTTCTACCTACGTGACTTTACCGAAAGAACCAAAGAGTATATATCCATACAACATATTAGAACAGACTCTACTAATTTACCAATTGGCTCCTAGGTCTTGAACAATGTGTAGTATGGCCTGTGCAGGTGTAGTGTATGTAGTTTTGAGTGATCTACAATTCAGAAGGGTGGCTAGGATTTTTGAGTCTCCCCTGATGATGGATATGAAATCATAGCCAGGCCAGTAACACATGAGCCAAACACTTTGGGTCTTTAAGTTGTTGCAGTTTCAAAGTAAAGAAAGGCAATGGTGTTGTCAACCAAGTGTTGCTTGCTTTTTCATACATACTTAGGGCATTCCCATAAGCTATTTTTTCCGTATTAGGTAATGCAGCAATTATTACAAAACAATAAATTTAACATTCGGGGGGAAATACATTTTCTCCATATTTTAACGGTCTCTGCACACCCCTTCCAAGTTGTTTAAATTCTGCTCTGAACATTCCAGACAAAATGAATGACATAAAAATTTACATGCCAAACTATACGCGTCTAATGTGTATATTTATTCCACATGGTTCTGTGGCTAAATTTTACACCGATTAGTTTACATAACACTTATAAGCGGACAATGTTAGTTTTCACAGCACTTACATTTTCAACATTACATTCCAAGGTGTGTTTAATTTGAAAAAAATGTTTCACTCCAGATTGAAAGATATCGAAGCTACAATATTTTTGTGTTGTTTCGAAATCGGATACCCTAATTAAAAGTTTTAAAGTGTTAATACATTATAATGATGAATTAGATTTGTGCAATATTCAAACGTGGACTCAAAGAGTTTATTTATATGTGTTTTAAATATAGGGCGAATGTTTCTGCTCTAAGCAGCCAGGGACACCTGTGCCTGTATTCGCATGGGCGGTGCGTCCTGCAGGGAGTGTATTACCATCAATTCCACTATAAATCACACGGCACTCCACAATTAATACAAACACCTGTGGAGGCAACAAAGCACCATCTGCCTGGGCTGCTCGAACGGGAGGCACCAACTGGCAGTCTCCCACCAGCTCAGCGCCGACTCCGGTGCTTTAGGTCACTCCGATTCGACAAACCACCGCGAATTTTGTGCAGTGAGAAGCCACACGCTATCCTCCCCAGCTTCGCCACTCTGTCACTGGCTCTGATTTTCCAACGGCCACTGATTGCATCGACGTGCCATTGCAAATGCGCGCTTGTTGATGTCTCAGATATCGTCTAGGTCCCATAGTCCATGCCATCGCTCGTCTCGTATCTCACGCATTCCACTGCTACTCCCGTCGACGGCAATGAGCGATCAACGGCCCATAAAGTGTTTAATTTGTATGTTTTAATAATATGCACGTCAAAATGTGCTTAATGAAAACGAGACACTTGTTTTGTGAAACGTTATAATGACGTAAACAAGTCAAACAGTTTGCCTTAATTGGGAGACCTAAACCGATGGGTAGAAATTCCCACAATCCTATGACAGGGGTAAGTGAATCCAGTGGAGGCAGTCGATATGTACTAACATGTGCTACGTTGGTGAACCTGGGGAGTGGAAGTGCAGTGGTGAGCAATGTGCGCTATGAACCCGGCAATCTTGAGTTTGATTTCTGGCCGCAGCTGATATCAGTGGTGAGCGTTATCTAAACCAGTTCTGGGTGTCATTCCCCCTCCGCCAACTCATACTGACCAATGTGGTGAAGTATGGTCAAACAACGGCCATGACCAACAGTGGCTTGGCAAAGGACCATAAAACGTTATAATTATCATTGACATTGTAGCTTTTTTTTAACAAGTATGAAGTTTGAAAATGCATTTAAACATTTGCAATATACTGCTTATAATTGACACGTGAAAAACACACAATTCGTGTTTTATATACGAAATTTGTAAAATGAGACTTGATGAAGAGGAAAGGAATGTGTTGAGCTTCGTCTCGCAGAAATGTTGCCCATTAAGATCCTTAATAAAATGACTAACACCACATGAACAAAATGCAAAATGTGAAACGCGTCTTCTTTTTTCTGAATTCCCTGAATTCGTGAGGTTATTAAAATGAAGGTCAACTTAACTCCTATGTAAGGCCTATGAAATTTAAACGGGTACCAGTAAACATCCTGACCTCATCGCAATCTGAAATCGTTTCTGGAGTTTTTCAGACCAAAACACCAAATTTAGAACAAGGGGCAGAATTCAAGTTCCGCTGTGACAAAGGCTAAGCACTTTCAGAGGGAGGCATGTCATTGTTCATGAAGATTCCTACTTTAAGGACTGTTCCACAATCTAAAGAGCAGAACATCTAAAGGCAAGAGAGTGCTGCAAATGCAAAGTACCCCATGGACACCATCAATGCCGTACCGCTTGCGTAAAACCCCCCAACAAGGGACATAATGTTCACTCACGGCCGCTTGTAGTCCCGTAAAAAGGTCGTGGCCAAACGCACTCAAATTTAAATTATTACCAACACGAGCGCCTCGTGAGCGATAATTTAAAAAGGGGGATCGCTCGACTTTGCCACTCGTAACATCGCCCTCTGTGGTGGCTGCCAGCGCCGAGCATGCTAATCCGTCTTGACGGGACGTGTCGTGTCCTTTGAGTGACAGTAGCTGGACGGGGCAAAAGAAACGGCGGCGGTATCAGGCTCGCGGCACTGCCCGCAAATTCCAAAATATTGCATGGGGCAACGAGGATATTTTTTTTTACACCAACAGCCCCGCTTCTCCATGACACCCGGACACGTCAGAAATTAATCTGGTATGCAACAAATTGGAGGCAGAGGCCACGTTAACAGAGAAGAGAATAATGATGTGGCCCATTTGTTAGCAATAACAGTTTTGGCACCGCGGTCTTCGCAATGTTGCTGCAATAACATTGCACACGAGCAGTCAGTCCCACTTAGGGCTGAAATTCGGTTTTCGGTGACAGCGCTATTATTGTTTCACCCTTGGCATGTGCACTCTGTGAAAATCGCGGGACGGTAACTGTGCAGGAGGTGCGAAGGGGAAACACTGGGGCAAGTGCGTAATGAGCAAGGCGGTGGTTAAATGCTCAGAATCTCGAGGCAGTTGTTTGGATAGCCTTCACTGGAGGATAAGGAAAACAACTGAATTGGTTTCGTGAACTTTAAGGTTGAAAGGCATTGAGAAACTCCGTTAAATTTCCAGATACTGGGTGATTAGGCTAATGTTTCTGTTGCCGCTGAACATGCTGGTACTAAAGGCACGCCCAATTACCTCGGGCGCTAATTCAATGAAATCACTAATACCATTATTAATACTTTGTTGCACATCAGAAGACCACACACACATGCACACAAACAGAGGCAGGCTCATGGGGCGACTAGACCACCACGACATATTACAAAAAGCGCAGATACACAAACACATTAAACGGGTCTGTCCGCATGATGCCAAAATGTCAATGTGTCTGTTTGCTCATAAAACACGATGGTATTCATGAACACACATGAACGCATTCAATCGCATGCTGCTCCACCATAAGGCTCGTCCAGGGTACATCACTAGACAAAGGAAGTCACATTGAATTCAACGTGTAGGCTTACATCAATATGGCAAACCAACTCAATGATTTCCAGAACTGTACTTACACTTTCCCATCGTTACCGTTTATCAAGGTTTCATGCCTACCACGTGGCTTGCAGCAGTATCGCTGACGCCAAAGAGGCTCCGTCGCTTTCATCGCACTATTCATCTCAATTGAAAACCATTTTCAAGTGTGTTACTTTTCTGGAAGGTATGTATTATGCTGAACTTCTTTCACACCGTACGTCGCCAACCATGCTAATCGGAGGTACGGGGGAAGGACAACAAACTAAATACAAAAGTTATTCTCAAGAAATACATTGCCAATTTAGATTTAAAAGTGCATAGCTCCAGTGGCATGCTAATATCGGAAGGAATAGCGTTTGAAGCGGCCACAGAAGGGCATCTGAAAGCACGCGACAGCGGTGACCACCGTCTCTCTTCGACGGTTAGCCAAAAAGCCGCTCATTCGCGCATCGGCTGAGGGGGCGCCAACTCAATCACGCGGTGGTGAAAGAGGTGGGAGGAGCGATTACCGGCGACGGCGTTTTTTTTTTTTACCTCCACCGCAGGAGCTGGAACAAGGGAAGAAGTCGGTCTCCCTCCACTGGTGCGGGATGGGCTGGTAGAAGAGAAAGAGCACCACCGTCTCAGCTGAGGACACGTGCCTCGCCTGGGCAAGAGAAGAAGAACGCATGAGTACACAGCCATGGTGGCGAGATGTTAACTGCCTCGCCTGGTATATAGGAGGCTGTGGGTTTGATCCCAACCCTGGCAATGCCTGTAAATTTGGAGTTTGGAATGTTCTCCCCGTGGTCGTGTGGATTTTTCTCCGGGTCCTCTGGTTTTTTTCCTCCACATTTAGAATCAACGGGCGTTTAGAGTTATTTGGCTGCTATAAATGTCCACGTGATAATCCGCTTCGTTAGGCTATGATTTGCGAAAGCCAGGTCGCTTCTGAAAGAAGAGCAATATAGCTCAGTGAGCCTGACCTGGTAAAATAAAAATAGTTTATAATTTAGTTTACACGTTATCGGTGAAGACCACTCTAGCTGCAGTCACCTGCTCTACGGCATAGTCAAGTCAATTTCATTTTTGCTTACACACGCGTGGCGCCTTGGTGGCACAAATCTGGCACTCAAAGCACCGCCACATTAATACTCAAACATAACAAAAAAATTATATAAAGTGAGAAAAACATATTTTAACTAAAGATGTTTAAAATATAAAAGCGAGTTGTGGCTGTGAGTAACGATTAGAGCCATGCTGACAGCAATGAGGAGGCACTTTTAAAATGCCGGTTACATGCAGGGGTCTTTGCGACGTCTGTCTGGTCCAAATCTAACGCAGTCTCTTTCCGTGACAATTATCTTACACCAGTGATACTTATTAAATATATATTCAATGTAATTCAGCTCTACAATGCCCTCCAAGCGAAAAATACAGTAAACCGTTGCATAATACTGTAATTTATGGGGTTAAATGATGAAATTGCCATCACCAATAGCAAATTTTACAAAATGTAATCAACAGTTACTTGGCTTTGATTAAATAATTCCATTGTCAACAAGGTATTTGTGCATTAATAGTTTACAACTTAATATATGCTCACACTTGTTGTCTGTGTATATTGGAGTCAGGGGTTATTTATTTAGTAAGTTATCCATTAATTTACGTGTTATTGTTGCAATATTTTTACAATGGCCTGGCCCTCAATATTCAGTTTCATTCAAAGTTAAAGGCACCGTTAACTTACGTGAATTTGTGGCAAGTTGTTCTAAACAGTAACAGATGTGCCTTTACAAGATATTAGCGTTTATTTTCAGTTTACTGTGTTTTCCAGGCAATGAGTTTCATATGGCTCCTATGCATTTTACATCATTGGCTTTTAAATGTGCTAACAAAAGTTTTAGAACCTGCATTATGAATGTGACTGTTAAAATCACGTGATTTTGCCATCATATTGAACCTTAAAAAGTCACAATTATCACAAAATGTCATATCAAATATAAATTCTTACATTAATGTGCTCACATTTCCTTTCAACTATGTGCACTCAATTTAGAAAGCTCTACACTCGTACACAGCATACTCACATTAAGGATCAAAACGTCATTAAGCTGCATCATAGACAACGCTTTTTTACGAACAAGGGCAATCATAAGCTCTAGAGAAGGTTACGTGAACTAATTAGGCAAACGTAGACTAAAAACGCCATGGCAATTTATAGCCATAGGCGAATTGGAAGCTGTGATGGCAATTGTGCCAAAAAATCACCAATGAAAATGTATTTATGCGTCCAAAAATGTGAAATTGTAGATTAGTGCTGTTGATAATCCTGGGCAGATTGAGAACGAGTGGTTAAACTCCCCTTGCGTGAAGGATTTATCTGATGACTGTCAAGCTAAAACAGGTGCTCCTATGCACGTGTGTTCAGCGCTGTGCCAGAAAAAAACTGTTTATGTTTGATTAAGACGACAACAACAACACACACAAGTTCTGCGAACGCGCATTATAATAATAGTACCCTTACAGTATGTGCTTTTTAATGCCTTTACTGGCTGCAACGTGTTTTTTTAACCAACTGCTAGAGACAATAAATAAAACTGTTTGGGTTCTGAATATGTAAATTCAAGATGTTTATTCATTGCTATTGTCAGGCATGATTGAACTACGGAAGTTAAATAATGGGGGGCTTTGTAAGGGACACACACAAACTGAAGTCAGTTCTACTAGTGAGGAATCAACAATGATCCATTATCCAGTGTTGTAAATGAGGGACATATTTAAGAATCGCCTAGAGAGAGAGGCATCGCATGAAGGTGAGAGCGACGGACATCACGCAGCAGCATCTGTCCCCTTTTTTTACGGTGTTCTCGTTGACCTATCAGCAAGCCAAATTTTGGTGGGTCACATGAACTTGACAGAAAGTGTTGCCACGTGTGCGCTAAACTGCGGGACGGTGCCATGAATTCAAAGCTGAGCGCCCTCGCCGAAGACACCCGATAAACACACGCCCCCTCTTTGCACAGCGTCTTGAGGTATAGCCATATGTAGGGCTTTTGTCAAATTAAACTGGCATCGCACTTTACTTTTCAGGGGTGTACACGAACGCAGAGCTCGGGAGAACGAATCTCGCGAGAAGGAATAGGTGTGGAGAACTGCAAACACCTAAGACAACATAAAATCGGGCACGATTCAAATAATGAATTGGTGAATGGGCAAATTCCACTGAGCGCAGTGTTCAGACTCAAATTGTTTCTTTTCTCCACTTTCCTTGCCTGGTCCCTCCCATTCCCTCCCATTTCCTCCTTTGCATGTCTGTGCTCTGAGACGTTTGTTACATTAGAAATGTAGTAAGTTGTTTTTTGCTGTTGAATCGTGCCTATATCTGAGCAAACAAAGCACCCAAGCCGACGTGTAACGCATCGCTCGCGCGGCACCTTAATGGTGAAATCCGCTTGAATGGGGCCTGTGATGTGCAGCACCCTCTTGCCCGGGTGCCTCTGGAACTCGAGCGAGCTGTTCTCCAGGCTGAACGTCCCGGCGGAGGTGAGGCTGATCTCTCCCCGCCGGCCCTGAAGGGTCTTGGTCTCCACCACTGAGGTGGACATCACGAGGACAAGGGGTTAAAAGCGAGACGCCGAGGGGTGACGGTGAGGACGGAGGGGGATCTGTGGCCGTCCACAATGGAGGTGCCGTTGCTCCATTACGAGTCATTGAGCACCGTGACAAATTGGAAAAAGAAAAGCGATCCAAATTGTTTGCTGTTGAGCACGAGGGGCTACGGACGAATAATTACACTCGACAAGCAGTTGGGAGCCAAGAGGGTGGAGAGGTTCGTGAGTACGTCTGCCGCCGGAGATGAAGTGATGTTAATCAACGTGTGTGCAGGAGCCAAGTGGATGTTGCATCACAAAATTGCGAGGGAAGGAGGTGGCTTGGGGAGGGCTTCATCCAGCAGCAGATTGCTCATGGATGCTGCTGCTGATGATTATGATAGCAACTTGCTCGGTGTGATGGTTCATGGCTAGTCCAGCACTTTGGAACCTTGGTTGGTAGATGAGGCATTGTTCATGCACACTCCTGTGAGTGCAACACCCACCTGCAAAGTGGGATCACAGTACAGCAAGTAGGCTTCCAAACTATACTTTTTAATTTGTATTTTCTTGCATACATGGCGTTTTCAGGGCATTTCATATTGAATTACTAAACAAGAAAAATACTCGAGAAGGAATGGGCCAAATACTCCAAGCAATACCCTTCTGCAGAAGAGTCTTGGGAGTAATCGAAGATTTACTCGTTCATTTATTATGACCGATATTAATGTGACAACATAATTAGTGGATGAGCAGGTTGTCTTTGTTGGGGTAAAGTGTGGGTACTCCCACCTCTTCCAAGACGTTTTGCCAGCATGGAAGAGTAGGCAAAATACCCTACAGAGGGCCTCTCTGCAGCTCCCTCGAGAGCAGAGCAAATCCTCTTGTCAGCACCCTTATTTTGTAAATATCATTATTATAAGTGTTCCCATGCTGAATGATTGATACCAGTCGGACATTGAGAGATGCTCATTTGACTCACGAGTGGCAAAATTATAAATGGTGTACATTTACCTGCAAAAAAAGACCACGTCGACAGCAAACATATACACGCCGTTGATCGGGAATGCATTTACTCACAGAGCTGATCCGGTCCCTTCACCGTGATCTTGATTTGTCGGCTCCCGAACGGGATGGCGATCACCGTGTCTTCCGCTATCGCACAAGAGACGGCGATCAGATCACCGCTTGGTAAGAATGGGGCCACAGTATGAGCAAGAAAAAAAGAAAAAAACGTGAAAATATGAGACTTAGTTATAATGGAATCTCAACACTTGTGAGCGTTTTTTTCTGAAACGACCAATTGTGATGTTCTTTTTGCCACCGAAAAAAGGGGATGATGGAATTGTTGTCTACTTGAAATGTGTGGGTTCTTATGGACTAATAGTTAGCGCTCAGACACAGGATCACGTGCAATGATGCAAACAAATCCCTAGAAGGCAGAGCTATGAATTTGTGTTTATTCGCCAGTTTGATTCCGTGAAAACGAATGCAGGATATGTCTTGAAAGAACGAGCAATTATTTTTTTCATGTCCCCTGACTCTTAGGATCTGAACGCACAGGCCTGCATTAATTTATATTCGTGTGATTTGAGTATAAGTTATTTAAAAACAAAAAAAATCTTCAATTTGGGTGCCAAATTAAATAACTTACATAAAACAATATTATTAATATTTAAACTTAATTGTGCTTGAATGTGTTATAATTAAATCTCAATTTAATTTTTATACAAAACACAAAGGTGTATATGTAGATGTTCTGCCTCATCAAAACTCTGATGTAATTAATGCGGATTGATTTTTAAACAATAAATACTGCCATAACTTGAATAACCACATCTGTAAACAAGGTGGGACCATGCATGCTAACTGCCGAATGACACATTTAATAGACTCCGGCTTACAAGTGAACCTTATTAAGTGCAACATGAAAAGTTACGTGGTTAGAAATGGAAGTTTCATGTATAGCGTGCTTCAATAAAATGTTAAAACTTATAGGGACTATCGTTTTTAATGGAAAAAGAACGGCTAATACACTGTAACATGATAACAAATGTATGTTAATAGCTTCAAAAAGTCAGTCTCCACTTAAATCTTGACTTAAACCTTTCATGACCGCAGGAATTCATATTCTTTGGGTCTCACGTAGATAGTTCAAAGAAAATAACAAAAAACTACGACGTTTCGATCCCAACACAAGTGGTCGTCATCAGGAAAACTGATGATCAAGAAAACTGATGACGACCGCTTGTGTTGCAATCAAAACGTCGTAGTTTTTTGTTATTTTCTTTGAACCTATCTTGGTGACTTTGCTGAAAGACCCAAACAATAAGAGTCTCCACTTGTTCGCCATAATTGTCAACACGTGCCTGGAATCTTCTCCAGGTGGTCTCCAGAGAGGCACATTTCTTGCGGTTTTGTTGCAAATTCTCAGAAGTGTTAACATTTTTTAAGCACCCTGTATTATATAAGCAGTAATATGTGAACGATTAAATGAAAGGAAAATAAGCAGGGCCTTCAAGAGATAGCCGAGTGGTGCTTCTGGGAATTTGCCTCTGAGTCAACTTCACCCGATGCCAAAAGCATCAAATGATCGGCCCCTGTTACTTGAGAAATAGCGCTCGCTGTGGCACGCACTGTTATTGTATTAAAGTAATTCAAATAATATCAACTTGCGCATTACACAAACAAATGAGAGCACGATACGGTGCGGCAACACAACGGCCGGAAGAACACGATACCATCGGACGACTGCACAGTCACGACACTTGGCTCGATTGCGGCGCTCAGGACCGAGGCGGGCAGGGGGGTGGGTGGGTGGGGGGGGACGTCGCCGCCCCATCAAAGCGACCCCCTCTGAGCGTTTCGCACCGGCAGTGCCGATCACCGGACGGGCGGCACTGCACAATGGGGTGGCCATCCCGGCACTTCTGCAAATACCTCGTCACCGCCGCTCCCTGTCCTGCCGCACACCCATCCACACCCCCCCCGCCCCCACCCCCTTCCCGTCTGCACATCACGCCACTCCTCACCGATGTCCACTTTCCTGTCCGTCGGCCACCCATGGCTTTTTGTCCCCGTATCGAATTCAGGAGGTTTCACGTCATCCGGTGACAAATGACGGCAAGGTACGTAACCGACTGGGTTGAAAAATAACAAAAAAAAATATAGAAAAAGAAAAGATCTGTCCGTCAATTGCTAAAGAGCAAATGTCAACTCTGAGCTCATGTGTCACCAGCTCCAGGGCCCACAAACTGTTTCATTTCACATGTTAAAAGGGGCTCCCGCCAGAGCGGGTTGTCAACTTTGAGACATGACTGACTTATCACGCGATAGCATAGCTGGACATTTTAATAACGTTCAACGTGTCATTATCGGTAACACTGCGCCATGTGTTTGTCAAAGATAATTCCTACAACTGAGCCCTTTAATGCCGTAATTTTGGCTCTGCGGTCGTGCGAGTGCACGGGGGGGGGGGGGGGGGGGGGGGGGGGGGGCGGGGGGGCGACAACGGCGGCGTTCTTGTGAACGAGATGTCGAGGAATTAAAGGGGGTCAGGAAATGGGCTCACGCTTGTCAACGGAGGTCTGCGGCTTGTACTGGCCACGCACGAGCCGGCACGTCGAGCCGTCTCCCTTGCACATGCCGCAGTTGTCTTCCTTGGCTCCGCTCCCAAGCTGGCGGTCGCAGCCCACTGACTGTCACGGCAAAAGGGGGGGTCGCACGGAAACGGGGAGGGGGGGGGGCAGGTGAGTGGGGTGGGGAGGGGAACAATGATGAGGTGTGGAGAGATGCTGACAGTGTGGGACGATGGTGGAGGGATGGAATGGGCAGAAGAGATGGACAGGGTTGAGACGGGGAGAGGCGAAGGGGAAACACACGAGACTGGGCCTGATTGGTGTGTGAGTGGAACATTTTTTTTCGAGCACTGAGACTTTGTGACTTGACTTTGACTCTATGGGCCAAATTCTCGTAGATATTTTATCTGTCATTTTGTCACTTTTTCGCAGAATTGATGGCCCTTTTTCTTTAATCGTAAACCAGCTCTATTCTACATTGTGCAATTCACGAGCGACTGATTCCACAGACGCACAATAAAGCGCCCTTTCTGCCACGACTAATTCTGCGATCGCAAAAAATGGTTAAACGTAGTCCCGGGGTCAAGGGTGCATCCAACCAACGATGGTGGAAAGTTTTCCACAAACAGGTGAAAAAGTTCCGTCGTTGTGGGGAAATCCACGCCAATCGCGCGTTGGGGGGCTTGGCCTGCATGGCAAGCGCTGAGAGAGGCCTCTCTCTCGCCCATTTACGGCAGACGCTTGTTGCCTCCATTTTGATAAAAAAAGTAATTCACATCGCAGTGCACAATTTGGAAGGCGTTCCGTTGGCCGCTCTGAACTTTGCACAAGCGTCAGAATGGAGGCATACATCCAGACGAGGAACATGACAGTGATGACAAAGACGATGGGGACAATGTTCATAAAATCGTGACGATGTCATTTGAAGGTTGTGGAGGTGATCACTTTGATAACGATGACGTTGATGATTATGGAAGTTGATCATCGGTCTTAATTGGAATTTACAGCTAATTCCAGAATTACACAAAAGCATGAAAACAAACCCGACCTGAATAAGGCCATACGTCTCTATGTTTCGCTTATTCTATTACGGCAATATGTTTACAACCTGTTAAAATGTAGGGTTAGGATTAGGGTTAAATGGAATGATAGGCCGTCCTGAAATAGACGGAGTACACTCCCATTGGTACGGAAAAAAAGCATGCATTATTTATTTGGCCTTACAGACCCAAAGCACACACAGCCAAGGTGGATGCTATGCAGGAAAAAATGATCTTCCCTATTTGAGCTCAGTCAGAAAATAATAACATTTAAATGTGTCTCTGCGGACCACTCCCCTGTTTCAAGAATAACCAGACCCCCCCAGCCCCCCGCGCCCCCCCCCCCTCGGCATCACACAAACAGAGCAGCTGACACGTGCAGATGCACCCGAGATGTTGAGTGGAGCAGCACTGGCAGCAGTGGCCTGGGGGCCCACGGAAGCCGGAGAGGGGGGAGGGGGTGAGACACAGAATGAGAGGGAGAACCCAGAGACAGGAGGCCACCTCCTGCGGACGGCTGCCTGGGGAAGAGGTCAGTCTTGCTGGTTGCAGCTGTACTAACTGCGGCACGCACTTATTGCACTAAGCTGTTTTGGATAATGTTCCAACGCAGTGTGCCAAAAAAGGATTTTTTTTTGCGCTAACAATCGCGTGTAATGGTGACCTGATACGAAGCCAACCGTGGACGACTTTATAACCGCAATGGGCGATGTTGAATGACGCTTCGTCTGGGCGTTAGAGGCAATTTACGAGATGTCCGGCAAATAGAGACAAAGGTTGCACTCCCTCCGTAAAAATAATGAGCCTCCAGTGCAGGAGCATGAAGTAAAGGTTGGTATTTAATGATTTCCACACCACCCACCAAATACTTTTGGCTAAAGGACAATAAAACCAACGAATGAATAACTTCGAAAGCAACAAATGTATTTTAGAGCGGATACACTCCGGAGGGCTAAGGTCACTTGTTGATTAGCTCTAAACGTTTGATGCCACCTGCGGTTGTCTCTGCTGCAGGTTCTTTAATTTATCCACGGTGCAATGCAGTGGTGTGAATTGGGACGTATTTTGACTGCTACAATTGTTCTCAGGCTTCAGGACGCGCATACCACGTGTTTGGACGTGTGCGCGCTTAAGAGCGCCGCATCGGCGAACAACCACCCAACGTGGAGCCATGTGGAGAGACTTAATTAATTCCCTCCAGACCAAACACCCCATGGCAAACGGTGACTGAGCACTTGCAGTGTTCCTGTAATTACACGTGATTGAGTGTCACAACAATATTTTTCATACACTTCCAAGTTCCCTGCAGAGTTTCCAAAGGTATTTTCTCCTATTGTGCTATGGCCTTTCCAGGTCATTCATATTAATCAATGGCTGCCCCTCTTAACATCACACTTGTTTTTCCTTCCAGAGCCTTTGTGCGCCTACACCGATGCAGTAATGGGATCCCACGGGTGGGAGAAGCGATGATGGCCAATGGTCAAAAATAACAACTGAGTGGCAGCCAAGAAGCTGGAAGGCATCTGAGGGGATGCCTATCGAGGAGATGGAGCTAAGAGGATTGTAACTCTGCAGAGACCGCGAGAGAATGGCGACAGATTGGAGAGGGCTTTATATCCAGCAGTGGACTGATGATGGCTGATGAAAGATTATGACGATGGCACAGATGGATGCATAGTACCACAATCAGTGCACAGCTACACAAAAGGGTCAATGAAAGGACGTTTTCTGGCCCTAAATTACCCTGCATCTGTGCTGCACCAGTCGTGGCACAGGCAAGCGTCGGCTGTAACGCTCCAGCTCTGTGCCGTGCGGTAAGGGTGTGCTCCCTCTGTACTTTCTCCCCATCTCACGACGGCCCCTTGCCATCGATACTTCCAATACCTCACACGTACGCGCCCGTGAAGGTCGAGGTGTCGTCCTACACGACGAGAGTGCAGCAGAGCATTTGCAATCCTACGCAGGCGCAGGTGCGAGGCTGGTGCGGTTACGAGGAAAGGGGATAAGCAATGTAATGCTGAAGAGGTGACCATGTTTAAAGTCGGGGGGGGGGGGGGTCATTACAAAAAGTCAGTCGTGGGGGGGGGGGGGACAAGACACACAGTCAATGCTAGACATACTGTGAACACATGTTAAACGCCAAACAGAACGAGTGAGGGTACGATCAAGTGTTCTGCGATGGCTCTCACTCCCCTATGAAGATTAATGAGCAAAGGCTGCAATGTTTGTCGCTTAATTTGACTATAATAATTTAAAGGGGGGCGGGGGGGCGGGGGAGTGCACAGGCCCCCTGTAGGCCTCCCCGAATGATGCAGGGCTGGAACAACATAGCATTGATCTTGCACGCACATTTGAGTTGCCAGTTCATAATAGGAGAGCAGGCTCGAGTTCTAAAATTCAACGCAGTTATTTCTGCAACGCATCTGTGACTTCCTCGCTATTTCTCCGTAACGGACAACTGCCACATGCTGCCAGCACCATGCAGTGGCGTGCCACGCAGAGTGCCACTGCGCAAATGGGAGAGCGATGCTTTGCCGGGAAATATAATTTACGTCGATTCAAGCCATCACCGCTAATGGCCAAGGATGCAGCTCGGTTAAGCAGAGCAACAGGGCATGTTTGTTTGTGCTTTTTTCCGCAAGTATGCGTGTGAAGAGTTGATGCCTTGCGAAAGGTATCTATTTGGTGTTTACCATCTCAACAGCTGTTTGATTGTCAAAAACGGTAAAAACTATTCTTATTTTTCGTTATTTTGGATACGGACAAAAAGGTCCCCTCGATACAAAAGTGTTATCGATTGTGAGATTTTGAGGTTAATTCCAGGCAAGGGTTGACTCAGCTCATCGTCACTCCTGCTGGGTGAATAAAATGAACAGCACTTGGTTAGGCAGCACTACCCTGAAAGAAATTCAACAGCGGTCTTTATAAGAAGAACCAGGATCAGCACAATAGGAATGTGGAATATTCACAACTGAGTCAGCACCGCCAAGGAAGGTTAGTCAAATTGTTTGTTTGAACACGAAGACACTCAAAATAAGCAGGGAAAAAACCTTTAAAGTTCAACCCTGTGAAGGTTGTTTTTTTTTCTTACTGGAAATGTATCACATAAGAAAATAACACAGCCATTTATACATCCTCAGCTGTACTGAAGTACAAGGTTGATCACGTTAAATTCTAGAGCATCTGCTAAGTCAAAACGAACATTGGGGAAACCAATCATCAGCCTTGAACCAGTCATCCAAGTGCCGCATTCCAATCGGAGGGACCTCCACTGTGGTTAGGGGTTTTTGACTCACAACTGAAACATTGCCTTAAACCAATTATCCTGGTCTAATTAGAGTCTCGTAAGCCAAGCAGGTTGGGGCCTCGTTAGTCTGAGGGTGGGAGGCTATTTGGCCATACTATATATTGTAGGTGTGGGCTGTGAGGTGACCGGGAGTTTTTTTAAATTGATTCTCGTGCAGACCTTTGCATGTCATTCTCTCATATCCTTGGTTTTTCTCTGGATAGTCTGGTTTCCTCCGACATGCCAACCACGCATTAATGGCCCATTACTGAAATTGTATAAACATCCTCATGCAGAACTCTCTTGAAAATAGTCACAGGGCTTGATAAGACGTTTCCTTGGGAGAAGAAATTCATATTGTTATAATTATACATTCAAGTTGTACGTTGACTCGGCCCACCATTGCTCTATGTCAATACAATGAGCACCAATTCCTCTGGTCAGCCTACATTACGGATATGCCTCGACAATGGCAGGCCATCATCGCTGGCCAAGGCCAAAGCCACGGTGGTGACCCTTCAGAGGTGCCACCTGCAAGAGGAAATCCACTTGAGCTGAGCACACAGTGTGCTTGTCTTTGACCACAAGGTGTGACCACGGAAGAGAGAGAGAGAAAGCAGCCCATCTCCCGTTACATAGCAGGCACCGGGGCTGCAGCCAACTGGCAATGGGCAGAGCTCGTAGCTCTAGGGGCTCAGTTAAAAGGATGGGCAGCCTCCTTACATTTTCACCAAGCCAAGGGCGGGCGGATTGTGCACAGTTCCGGTGTGGCTCACTTGAATGTAATACAATAT